AAATTTGTCTCCTTCTTATTCTTAAGGTTTCACTAATAATATTGAGCTGTTATAAACCCAATCACTTAAACTAGATCAAACTGCTTAATTAACAATTATTACTCTCCATTAATAAATTAATACTTTTAAAAGATGCATAGATATAAATAGCATACTTTAAAAAATATTTTCAAGTATGATTTATGATGTTTTTGAAAATAAAAATTTTGCAAAGTGGCCCTATAAAATACAGTTTACAATACTCTATTAACAACTGTCTTGCTGGCTCATTTAAGATACTGTTTTATGTATTCTGTTTCGAGACTGTCTCATAAATATATTGAGCTATAATGCTGGAATTGGAAATACGTGGTGGTAATATATGCCCATTCAATTTCTCCACATTGTTCATAACAAGTTACATTTAAACAATATAGTTTCTTTTATTGAGATATTTTACAAATTCACTTAAAGCAGGGATGCATCTCCCCATTTACTACCTATTGATTTATTACATGTCATACCTATATGCACTTGTTTGATCTTTACTTCCTAGTAATAGCTGTGAGAATAAAATGATTAATCAGCAAAAATGTAGTTCAGATACAAATTGATCTTGGAACCTAGTCTGACAAATTTGACCTGTTACTCAGATGTGATATATCTTATTATGGAAGTTGCTCCAATCCATTTCCTGATCTTTTGAGAATTTAAACCATGTCAAAAACTGAATTTGGCATAACTTTTGGTGTCTTTACAAAGCTGAACCATTAACAAGTCCATCAAGAACTTACTTAAATACAGAGATGTAAATGATGTTGTTATTTCTTAGAAAGAGGCATTCTGAAAAGTTTTATAGCCAAAGTAATTTAATGAAATACTTTTAATTATGTAACACTCACAATTTTGTCATTTCATCAAACACAGTAAAATTAGGAAAATTCTTACCCGAAAATTTTGACAGTCTAATAACCTTGTTATAATGCAACAATCTTTAACAAAGCAATTAAGAAAGAAGAAGTAGAGAAGGAAGTGGTCTATCAGCTCAATAAATCAATACTTGTGTCATAGCTTTTTATATATAGATCCAGGAACTCATATCAGATAAATATTACTTTCATAGGTCATAAACCTTTCTACAATATAAAATATCATATATATATATATATTATCTAATAGATTTATTACAGGAGCAATATCTAAATAGACATCTGTATCACCTGTGGCCTCTCTTAATCTATGGTCTTGTTTTATCACCAGAATGTGGCAATGAAACATCATCTGACTGTGTCACTGTAAAATCATCTACATGGCATCACCTCTGTGGTAATGTATCATCACTTATCTGTGGTCATTAAACAATATTAAACATGATCAGAGTCTGTGGTAATTTAGCATCAACAGATTCTGTGATCATGTAGCATCACCTGATTTTGTGGTAAATTAGCATCCACTGATTCTGTGGTATGTAGTAGCATCATCTGACTCTGTGATGGTTTAGCATCACCTGACTCTGTCATAATGTAGCATCATCTGATTCTGTGATAATTTAGCATCACCTGTTTCTGTGATAATTAAACATCATCTAACTCATCTGTGGTAATTAAACATAACCTAATTCTGTGGTAATATGTAGACATCTGCTCTTGTGGCAATGTGGCCTCATCTACTCTTGTGACAATGTTGCATCATCTGTTTTTGTGGCAATGTGGCATAAAATGACTCTGTATCAAAATGGCATCTTATGACTTTGTTAATGTGGCATTATCTACCTATGCAGATTGAATAATGTAATATTTAACTGTTTTTCCTTGTCATTACATCATATTTATAAACTACATTTACATTCAACATTGAAAAACTAACAGTATGGCAGTGTAACTTGTTATTAAAAAATATTAGAAAAATGCCTTGCTAATATTGAAATAGAATTCATGAGGCTAAAATGTCAGTTCTGAGGGTTTTCTGTCTGAAAAACTGATAAAACAAGTTAATGTTAGCAAAGCCTTAAGATAATGTCAATAATAAATCAACATGTACATACCTGCTAGACTTGGAATCAGGAAGTGAGTTTATCCTTGAACAATATTGATTAGTACCATATGAAGCAGACTCGCTGGTCTTAATATAGTGGAACCAGGAAGTGTTAATTATTCCTGTGGAAGAAATAGAAAAGCCGTTAGCAATGGCAGAATACTTTCCTTATTACTTTCAAAAATAGAGTTGCTCCAGGGCATCATTGCATTCTAATAAAATCTAATTACATCATAAGTTCCTTACAATCTTCAATATGCACTTAACATTCTGTAACTAGTTTTGCTTTAGAGAGTATGAAGGTAAAATACAGCAGTCACTCATGTGTTAATGTAAGTTAAAAAATAAATAGATTATAATAAATTTAGAGATTATTTATTTTGAATAACACAGATAGTAAGCTTATAGATTTCCTCAAAGAAAATTGAATTTGATAGCACCATCCAATATGATAAGACTGGTAATTATAGCGATACATGCTTGCATTGAGATACAAATGGACAACAACTTGATCAAATTAAATCAGTTTCCCAATATTAGTTATGAAAATGAAATGTTTATATATGGTATATCATGATACAAGACAGTTCACTTTAAGCCAGCGAATTAACTAGTTTGAAAAACATAACCTCTGACATAAAGCTTCAAGCTTTCAGGATGTCATTGGCATTGAGTAGGACAAGATTCAGATGTCAGCTGCTTATTCATAATCAATTGTTTGACTTTGTGCATTTATGAGGGTACCCATCTTTAATCAATATTGATAATTTTGATCAGTTTTACAAGTTCGAAGTAGTCGACTTTAATTTGTAACAATATTACAAATTTATTGATTCTGGATACTTATTCTACTTCTATTTCCTCCAGAACACTGGAATAAATACCACATCTCTACAATATAGACTCTACTAGCAATTAATTAGTGTTAATATTTTAGTAAACAAAATGTTGGAATAAATATCCAGTTAAAATAATATTTATTTATAGTCTATGATAGTCTGAAGATTCAGGAAGTTCTATGGAAAACCATGGTAACAAGCCTAACTAATAGATGTATGTCTAGGGTTTCCAGGAAGTAATCCAATTAAAACATATCTATTTCATTTCTTAATGGCTTCTATTTCTTAATTCTTATAAACAAATATAATAAATCAGGAATATTTAGATATTGCTATTGATTGAAGGTATCATTACCAGTATTAAACATTGTAGCAAATATGTCTAACCTTTGGGAATTATGATGGCAAAAATGTAAACAAGCTCAACCATGCTAGGTGTGTAATAACTATTACGTTAATTTATGTCCAGAAATATTGGTCAATGAATTCAGCTGTGAATTTAGAGAGGTAAATTAACTATAAGTTAGTCACTTGATGTAATGTTAACTGCAGTTGATGTGAGTCTGTATAGTGATTTGGCCAGGACTTTCACATGGGATGGTTTAGAGTGCATTAGAATACACATTCCTTTACTAATAATATATAAACAATAAGCAGTGATGTAGACCATCTAGAGCTTCTGACAATTTTTAAAGAAGAGATCCATATCAACAATTTTGTAAAATTGAAATTCAGTCAAGAGTTTGTAAACAAAGGATGAGATATTTAGACAACATAATAGATCCTGTAATACTTTATATCTGCAAACAGGATGTACATCCTAGCCACCTTAAACACTCATGACACCATGTCAAATCCCACGAGACCTGAGACCATGTCAAATACCATGAGACCTGAGACCATATCAAATACCATAAGGCCTGAGACCATGTCTAATACCATGAGACTGGATACCATATCAAATACCACTAGACCTTAGACCATATTAAATACGATGAGACTGGAGACTATATCAAATACCATGAGACTAGAGACAATATCAAAAACCATGAGACTGGAGACCATATCAAATACCACTAGACTTTAGACCATATCAAATACCACTAGACCTTAGACCATATTAAAAACGATGAGACTGGAGACCATATCAAATACCACCAGACCTTTGACCATATCAAATACCATGAGACTTGAAACCATATCAAATACCATGGGACTGGAGACAATATCAAAAACCATGAGACTTGAAACCATATCAAATACCACTAGACCTTAGACCATATCAAAAACCATGAGACTGGAGACCATATCAAATACCACTAGACTTTAGACCATATCAAATACCATGAGACTTGAAACCATATCAAATACCACCAGACCTTAGACCATATCAAATACCATGAGACTTGAAACCATATCAAATACCACCAGACCTTAGACCATATCAAATACCACCAGACCTTAGACAATATCAAATACCATGAGACTTGAAACCATATCAAATACCACCAGACCTTAGACCATATCAAATACCATGAGACTGGAGACCATATCAAATACCACTAGACTTTAGACCATGTCAAATACCATGAGACTTGAAACCATATCAAATACCACTAGACCTTGGACCATATCAAAAACCATGAGACTGGAGACCATATCAAATACCATGAGACTTGAAACCATATCAAATACCACCAGACCTTAGACCATATCAAATACCATGAGACTGGAGACCATATCAAATACCACTAGACTGTAGATCATATCAAATACAATGAGACCTGAGACAATATCCAATACCACAAGATCTGACACAATATCAAATACCTTGAGACCTGAGACCATATAAATTACCTTGAGACCTGAGACAATATCATATAAAATGAGACCTGAGACAATATCAAATACCATGGAAACTGAGACAATATCAAATACCATGAGACCTGAGACAATATCAAATACCTTGAGACTTGAGACAATATCAAATACCATGGAAACTGAGACAATATCAAATACCATGGAAACTGAGACAATATCAAATACCATGAGACCTGAGACAATATCAAATACCATGAAAACTGAGACAATATCAAATACCATGGAAACTGAGACAATATCAAATACAATGAGGTCTGAGACAATATCAAATACCACTAGACCTTAGACCATATCAAATACCATGAGGCCTGACACAATGTCAAATGCAATGACAGCTGACACAATATCAAATGTCAAGAGGCCTTGGACCATATCAAATGTTATGATGCCTGAGATCACATCAAATGTCACAAGACCCAAAATCACATCTAATGCCACTGACATCATGCCTATGGAAATATCAGATATGAGCTCAAAATCTCAAAAAGAGACTCGAGACCACATCAAATGACAAGAGGGCTGAGATATTATCAAATACCATGAGACCGTAATACATCGATATTTATCTAAATGGATTGCTTAAATATGACCTTGGTCATTATCATTGTCATTGGAACTATTGCAAAGAAACTTTCAGTCCTGCAAATCAAAACCATGCCTAGCTAGCCTTCTTATGAATCAATGAAATAAACCCTCAAGATGCAGCTAGAGTAAAACATTTACCAAACATGATAATTATAGTTATTATAATTCATAACAGTACGGACTAAATTTACAAAATTCAGTAATGCAAACCAGAGAATAGGCCTAGCCTAGCCTTGGCTATAGGTCTTAAAAGCTATCGTGCGGTTTGGGCTTTTATATTGAAAGAAGAAATATGAAAATTATAATGGATTACCAATTATAAGGTAATATCGGATTATACGTTGCACTTTATTATAAAAGTAGTGGATTATACGTTGCACTTTATTATAAAAGTAGTTGACTTACTTTTTTACTTTATTACTGTGTGTAATATTTAAGTGCTTTCCTGCATACAATACATGTTGATACCCCCGTTCCTCCCATTCACTAATTCATATATCCGGATTTAAACTTTTGGGAGGGCATAATAAATAAAAAATACGTGACGAGTTTCTATATGATAGAATGTCCATACAATATTCGGTATTAGAAATAGTTTAAAAGTTCTACTTACACAACCCGACATCCACTCAGCGACTATCTATTGTAGCCGAACTACCGATAGTTTGTATGAATGGATTTATTGTCGTCTTCATAGTTGGTAAATAGGAGTAAGCATCTCATCATGATTTCATTCTTCGCATGCACCAAGAAAGTAAATGAAGAAATAGAGGAATTCCAGAAATGAATCTCTGCACGAAATGTCAGTAAACATAAGATTTTACCGTGACTTAGTAGTATTGCGGATTGATATACCGAATAATCTAAACGTTATTATACGGAAAATACTGGCTCAGCAGAGTACACTCAGAGTACACTAGTCAAAGTTATTTTTAGCAATAAGGAAGTAACTGATACAAAAAGGGAATTTCCCGTACAATGGACTGATTTGATTGGATAAAAATACTATTTCCTACAACGGAGATAAAGCAAGGGGTCTTACAAGTTACATAGAGGAACTTTATTTTGCATCAGGTGATGATTACCTTTACCTTTTCCAATTATTGGTAAAAATACAATATGCCAATAATTGCAAGGAACCACACATGTGGCATAGCCTACCACTATAATAATTTCATGACTAAGACATAGACTAAGACTTAGACATGGTTTAAGCATTAACCAGTTTCCGTCCGAGGGGGGCGAAATATCTGATGTTGCCAGAATTTCTAACCTGGTGATGAGATTTTTGCAAACTAATCTTGAGAAACAGTATTGTTACTGTTTTGGCAACACATGAACACATGATACTACCCTCCCTCGCCTCAGGCTACTCAAATTGTTACCTTTCAACCACCCTATACTCCTTTAAACCTGTGTCAGTGCCTTCTGTTGGATAACTTGTTACCTTTCAATCACCCTTATCCCAAATTGTAGCTTTAAATGTTTGTACCTCAGTAACTAGCTAGATATACTTGCTGCCATAGAACTTATCGGAGTTGCAAGGTCCCCAACTACGACTACGAATAACCTTAAGTAAATTCACGATCAACAACATTACATCAAAAAGGTCACACCAATTTGCAAAACGTTAGTGATGATACGCATGCCGTGGAACATTTTTAGTGCCAAAATCTAATTAATGTTTTTTTCTTGAGACATGTGGCGGGCCGCAAAAACATTACTGGTTCCCCATCCCTGATTTAAAGGGACCTTCCCCTTTGTTGTAGGACTTAAAAATTTTGATCAAATTTGTGAAAACAAAAGCTAGTGAAATGTTTCCTTTAACGTATCTAAAAGTTTTAACTGAAAAAATTCAGTTGTTATGTTTTTTTTAAATGTATTTAAAATGTTTAGTAGGTTCGTTATGCTTGAACGCTGTTAAAAAACAACTGTACGGATTTAAGTAAAATAAACGCTTAATGGTAGATAAATATGTCCCCAACGTTTATTAGTCTCTAATAATATTGAGCAATATAAAGCAAAACTAGATCAAACTGCTTAATTAACAATTTTTTATTTAACCCTTTGAAAACAAATTCAGTTTGATCAAGTAGATACATAGATATACATACTTCAGCACCCTGGAGGCTTTAAAAGTGACCTGGCATCTGCACCATAGATCAGAGAGACAGTTTTTAATCAAAGAGACAGTTTTTAATCCACTTTTAACTTGTAAATACGTTAGCGCCTCATCACGACCTTGTACAGTTTTCACTAGTACGACAATACCTCAAAGAAGGTCATGTACTGGATTGGAAGAAGATAAAAGATACTATTTCATTATTAAATGTGAAAAAACAGTGTCATTATTTGGAATTTATCAACAAAAATATAAACTCGGGCGAAATTTGGAAATTTGTCTACGCCTTGCCCGAAAAACTTGTCTTCGGGGTTGTCTTGGGTTATTGCCAAAGTGAGCATAAAGCATGCGTAGTATGGGAGGTAACTCAATAAAGAGTGGAACTAAAGAAATATAAAACTACGTTTAAATTACACGATGTTTAATGGCATCACAAATTCAATATATGTACTTTTTTTTTCATAGCACACTAGCTAAGCTCTGAACTTAATGACCAATAATTTTGCAAATCGTACCTTCATATTTCAAGATAGGCCTATGTTCATAATTAGTAATTTCTGTCATCCTGGAAATCTCATGGCCACTCACTTTTTACAATAATACGATATTTTCACTGTCAAAATAGTATTCAATTTGTTGTTTCTCAGATTCATACTATGCGATCTTCAGCCAACTCCAGACTGACAACATTTATCTGAGTGACCATTAGTGATTGTTAAGAGCTTCCTTCTTCATGTAATGACGTTAAATATATCAACATATGATTCACTTTCAATATTGAGGTTCCATCTCGCCATAGGATTTGTGTCAGAGACACAATGTCCCCGTGCATCAATACCAAAAGTTTTGACAAATTTGGTGAAAAATTCTCCAAAACTAGCGACCCAAAAATGGATTGGAGCAGCTCCAATAAAAATTGACCCTAGTCTGGCCCTAAACGTGACAATATCAATAATTCTGTTTAACATGTCTGTGGAACAGTAGGGCCAGGTTTTTTGGGATAAGTAAACATAAGACTGAGCACTGATTAGTTGATCTTATTGCACATACGATAGTGAACAGATTTCTGAATAATTAGTAAGAAAGAAGAATCATAAGGCATAATAATAAAACAAGTTGATAAAGAAATTGATGTATTTTCTATATTGATGATAATAATGTTAATATAATTTGAATTTATACAATGAGGATGATTTAAAAACAAATAATATTTACAATAATAATAATGATATAAATAATAATAATAATAATAAACAGTTGAAGCCTCAAATTTCATTTGGAATTGTAGTAATCAAAGGTGACATCTTAGATCAATGTTTCAAACAATTATTATTCTTGCTTTGAAAATAAGATTAAAAATGGTTTGACTTTGTGTTATAAAAACATGTTATATGGAGTTCTGGAGATACAACATATATTTTCATACAAAACAGTTATAAGTCATGTTTTCAATCTATATAAGACTCAGATTTGAACTTTTAATTACCAATACCATAACTTACTGCTACACAGTATTAATTAAACATTTGATGTCATTAAGTACTTGCAGCAAAATTTTTAAATCTATAAAATGATTTTGCTTTACTTTCATATTTTCTTCACAAAATATTTCTTCTCCAATGTTTGATTATTAGGCATATATCAAACATTTTACTTCATAGCTAACATTTGACTTCATGCTGATTGGACAATAAACATCACATGACTAGAACAATATGACAATTTATAATAATAATAATACTTTGTAAATGCCAATAACACACAGCACTATATAATAACAAATATACATATTCACAAAACAGTAAATATGGCAACACAAATTTTCTGATACAGTTTCAAAATTTAAAACAAATTGTTCCCAACTGCCAGTGTTTCAATAGTTTGATAAAATATTACAAGATAATATTGTACAAAAGTTCATATCAGGATAATTTCCAGTGTTTATTTTTACACCATAAACTTCATTCATTTAGAAAATTTTGTGTTGCCATCAATAAATGTTGAAAATAATTAGTCAATATTATGGCATAGAAAACATTAATTATATACAAATAATAATGATGATAATAAAATTTATACAATTTCTGTATAAAATATACAATAGTATTTGATAATGCTTTGTAATATTATGACTTTATGAGGGGTAATGGATTTATATAATAATTAAAGCTAATATTAAATTTAAAAAATTAAAATAAACATTGATACACAACAAATCAAACAAAAATGTTCTCACATACAACCTAAAATTGAAAAAAATTTAAATTGTGATATTTTAGTTAAAAGAATCTAAATACCAACTTAAAAATGTAAATGATAAACCTCACTGCCTATTCTAATATATTCTGAAATCTAAAAAAATAAGTCTACTTTACTAGAATCACAAGTTTGATTGACCTTTTTAACCTGATATGATATATTGAGGTAGAGTCCATCATACTCTTAAAGGAATTGTTTTCTCTATCTATGAATCAAATAAACTTTGACCTTTGTGACAAGAATCACACAGCATCACCATCTAACAATGAATACTATTTTGAGGTGGGGCAAATTTAAATGTTCTTTTGTGGAATTTAATTTCTTTCTACTTTTATTGTTGAAATGAAAGGGTTTTATTCCATCATGTATATTACAAAAACAATTCCTTTAAGAATATAATAATAAAATATATTATACTGTGTATGTTCAATGATGTTATCTATATGATATAAAAACCTCTCTTTTTCAAATTCAGTTTAAAACCAGTAACTTATTTAACAATCATACAAAATTTTTATACATTAACAAAACAATTGGTAATTTTTAGTTTATATAAGTACTTTGGCCTATTTTAACTATTGCAACTTTAAATAAATTATGCAGTTTGTCTTTGGAATTGTACTATATCATTTACTTGTTCTTGAAGACTATTAGTCTACTAATTCCAATCACTATAAATACAGGGATAGTGACATTCCTTACGTATACATATAATAGATACTGTACTAATATAATTTCTAGGGTATTTCTATGTTTAATAATATTATCCTTTTTCTTTTCTGAAGATTTGGCTTCAAATACATGTAAAGACACAAAATATTTAAACTAGTTACAAATCTTTCTAAAAGTGGTGCAAACTCAACAAAATAATAGTGACAGAGTGGCAGCAGGTGTCTTTCACTCTTATTTGAACTTATTGGCACAAGAAGGTAATACTTACACATTACACAAAGCCACACAAATATAAGGATCTATTTAGACCACAGAATTTTGGCTTTTTCATTAATTTTTGGCAAACATAATTTTAGCAAAAGGGTATCATAGCAATATTTTAACTCTTTGGCTCTCACAACAGCTTCCTCTAGTTTCCAGTCACACTCCATTGCATATATTATTTCATTTACTTTTAAAAACTCATTAACATCTGTAGTTTGTAGACTAACAAACTATTCATTCTGATGGTAATTTCAGTTTAATGTGAATTTTGAAGAATTATCCTATACAGGGTGAAATAAAGATATTTAATGGAATGACACTGAACAAATGAGGAGGTCACAACAGGAGAATAAGAATAATATCATATCAATGCCACACAAAGCGCACTTATCACAAAAAATAAAATTTCAACAAGAAATGCTGACCTAAAACCATTTTGATTCTCTCAGATTCATTCTCACTCACAAAAACTCTGTCATGGATACTGAACACAATTCTTTATTCAATCTGATATCCTTGACCCAGTTATACATAGATATTGATATCCAGTCTATTTTACTAATAGCATCAACAGTTTGGTCATTTTAAGCCTTCTGTACTGCTGATAGTAACAGTTTTCCAGATTTTCACAAGTGATTTACTAGGACACTCTCTGTTTAAATATTAACACCAAGAAAGTCGTCAACAATATTAGAACACTGGGATTCAGACTAGGCGACTCATTTATTGAATGGGAAGGGTCTATTGTGACTTTCCGTACTGGAGCCACTAATAATGGGGTCAAAGTAAGATAACTCTGAAGTAAAGGACTACCAGTCCTAATTAAATGTTCAAGTCTCTGAGCTTCACTATTACATGCTTCAAGCTGAAAATAAAAGTATATGTTAAATTTCACACTATAGTTTAGTGCACAAAATCGGAGATCTTAAAATTTGGTACTGGATTTCTCACACTTACGTAAAGCACAGTAGATGAAAGGATACTCCTGCTATTCTTCATAATAAACGCTTAAGTAAAGCATAATGCACAAAAAGGGAATCCTGCTATTGGCACTTGAAATCTCACAATTTAATTTGCATTCCGTACAAGAAATTAAACACATTTAAGTCAAGTTAAAGGCACAAAAAGTGAAATGGTTGAAATTGTTTACCTGTAAATTGGTAGGTTGGTCAACTATTGTAGAGACTAAAATTACTAAACCACCCTCACTACTTAAATATCCAAATATGTCACATTCTGCTATAGTAAGTTGATTAGATAGTTCATTTAGTACAGTAGTTACTGTTAGAGGTCCTTCATTCATAACTCTAGTAGCAGATTCAACTTGACTTGGATCAAATAATGCGTGCAATTCAGCAGCTGAAAAAAAAGAGCTTTTAAGCATCAAACAAAAAGACTGGAAGAAATGTAATGTTGACAAAGTTTTCTAGACTGGTTTAATTAATGTTCCTGATTCTCATAACAAGATTTTTTTGAATCTTGTTCACCACTTCTCATTATTTATTTGAAACACAAGACTTGACCCTCTTCTACAAACATTACAATTACAAGTTATGAATCAAAAATGCTTCTCTGAAATTGGCCACTTCATAAAGACATAAGCATAAAACTAGTCAAAATAGAATAGAATGGAATGTAACTCACCACAAACAGGACAGCAGCCGCCTGGAGGAATCAATCCTTTACAATGTTTAGGTTTTAATGGCTGACATTTAACATTAGAACAATGACTTCTCCCTGTGATAATAATACACGTTTTAGAAAGGTAAAATATATATAATGCACAGGTTTTTACTGACAACAATAACTCGATTTTAACATCATCAAATTTTATAACACAGATGCTGATAAAGTCTCCCTGAGATTAGAATTTGAATTAGATTTTGCAGGGAAAAATAATCTCTATAATTACCTGTAAGATTTCCTAAAGCTCGACATTCCCCTAAATAATCTACTGTAGTTCTGTCAGCCATTGCAGCACATTGACTAGGATATGTTTCACCATTATGTCCACAAACTTCACCAGTATTAGAACAACCAGACTGCAAACATAATGAGGCATATCAATACGAGAAAAAAAATCAAGTTTCAACTTAGTTTGAAATCCAATAAAGCATTAAGGAGTAATCAATAACAATCAAATTAAAAAAGCACACAGGATCTAAAATTTGAAGTAAAATGATTCAATGAAAATGATCAATAAATGTAATTGACATTTTTGCCATATTGTTCTGTTGCATTCATATGTACTGATACAGCACTCATTTCCTGTGTAATAACATCATTGTTTGTATTTAGTTGAAGCTGTACTTACCATACAATGACCTCTATATGCTAGAGTACGTTCATGAGAAAACAATATACAAGCATTGGTAAACTCTTCTCCAGTATCATCACATACTGAATCATGATAATGTGGATTACATGTCATACTCTCAGATACTGTAAATATACAAATATTAATTACAATTCCCTTTCTAGTATTATCTCAGATACTGTAAAAATGAAAAAAAGTATCCCATTTCACTATCCTCATAATTAATCCCATAAAATAGTTAGATATTGGAAGTAAAAGATTTAATATGTATACTTACCACATTCAAACTGATTACAATTATTATCAATATAACTTAAACACACTTGTCGCCTAGCAACACATCTAAAAATCAACAACTTTAATATTAGGCATTAATATTCTGTCATTAAAATTTGAAGAGCATGAGCAGATGAGTATTAAAATGTATTATCACCTACACAATTGTCATTAAAATTCCGCTCCTAATTTGCCCAGTTGATTTCCTCAGGTGTTCAAAAAAAGGGTAAGCACTACTGTTTTCTAATATTGAAAACTGTTTGTATTTGTAATTAGATAGGCTACTGACCTTTGACCTGCACCACAAGCCTCATTACTACAGGGATCTTGACTAGAACACGAACCTTGAACAACATCATTCTCATCAAAACCAGCACATCTAAAAGCAAGATTATACCATTATCATCATATACAGTGTACTCTGTGATATCTGACATCTGAGTATTCCGACATTCTGTGTAATCCGACATCATTTTCTAGTCCCGATTGATTTTAAAAACCCTGAGTACTCCGACACTCTGTGTATTCTGAATTACGACACTTATCAGTGATCCCGACACTCAGAAAAATCTGTATAATCCGACATCTACTCATCTTAATCACGTATTGTCAATTAGATAATCGCTTTTTTTATTGATCGGATCAAATCACATGAAAACAGAAGATCGCTAACTAAATTCTGCTGATTAATCACTGCCAATGACCTCGCTTCATGATCAAGGTCATTGCCTTTAGACCAAATGGCATGGGTATTCGTATCATTCATTACACCATACAGAACAGAAATATGCAACTTGACCATTCTTTGTTAAGCGTTTTTTTCAAAATTCTCAAGCGTACAGTTTTCGTCCTGCGTGCCCGTACTGATGTGTCTCTGGATATGAAACAGCAAATTATTGGAGATTAAGGAAAAGTGCAGCGCTCTTCGAGGAAATATTTAGCTATGAAATTTGGTTTACGTCGAACAACAATAAGCAGCATTTTAAAACGTAAAGAAGAATTTTAAAAAAAGTTTGCCAACAATATCAATACCAATAAAAAGCGTATGTACAGTAGCTCAAAATATGAACAATTAAATAATAGTAACATAACATACAACTGACTTGTCTATTATTATTGTCTTATTATTAGAAAGGTACCACAGAGTATACTGTACCTAGAAATTGTTCCTTTAAAAGACCCAGAAAGACCCATACTTCAAAACGCACAGAAATCTTTTGCCTTGCCTTGATGTCTTGTTTATTACTCAATGACTCCATTGCTAGAGTATGCTAAGTGTATATAATAGTGGTAAAATTTCTAATCTCATCAGATTACAATATATAAACTTACTTTGCTAAGCAGAAGTTAGGATATGTTTTACCATTTTTAGCACAAACAGGTTTATAATGGGCTGGACAGTTACCAGGCATATCTATAAATAACAACAGTACATTAACCACAAGACATCTTACTACCATAAGTTTGATTTTTGTTATTTATATTATGACACCACAATGGACAACAAATATAATAAGACTGAATGACAATTTAGAAGAAATACAAAGTTTAATACTGGGTGTCGTTTCCAACATTTCAGAGATTAAACCTACCTGATATGATTGAAGTGGTGGCACCAACCATGGGTGATTTACAGTTATTTTTAGAACAGATCATGTGACCATCATGACAGGCACATAAAGTTTTATCAATAGTAAAATGAGTACCACTAACTGTAAAATAATAATAACAATCTAATAATGTGTTTAATGTATACCCTTCGTCCACTCAGGGAGACCACGGTTCAAGCTAAAACAGATATTTTATTTGGTTTTCCTAAAGAATGGTTAAATATTACACATGAAAGTTCAATAAAGAACCCAATTTCAAATGATGATTTTGGAATAATATCTTTTATCATAGTTCCTATCAGAACCCACCTTTTCTATGTTTTGGACCAATCACACAGTGTTTATCAGTAAAACATGGCAGTTGTTTACAATTTTCAATCTTGTTTCTATGACTACAATGACAAGCTTTATAACATTGTTCGTTAGGTTGAGTACCATGTACTTTATCAGGAATTCTAACATATACTCCTCGTGGAACTAAAAACGTGGACATCTGACCTAACATACAACCTAAAGATAAAACAACAATATATTTCAGCAAACATGTGTGCACATTTAAGATTAAAAGTATCCTTAACACAAGAAGTATGTCTTGTATGATTTAAAAAGCAAGTTACTTCAACACATGATTAAAAGAAAAGTGTATTCCACTTAGACTACAATAACACTAACAATTTGTTAAATAAAAAATCTTAAATTTTATAGTTTTTTTTACATACTCAGTCTGTTTTCCAAACAATCTCTTCGAAACAAACTTGAAAATCAGGTTTTTGATGTCTTGTAAAAACCCAACTTACCTTCTTTACAAATATATGGTTTACAATCTTCTAAATGTTTACATTTTCTTCTACGAACTTGACATACCTCACGTTTACCACATGGATTAGGATGACAAGGGGAGGTAACTTCATTATCTTTACCAATATCATTACTTTTACCTGCAATTTAACAAAAATACAATTCAGGCATTGTTGGCAGTTGCTATTTATCATTATAGCCTATAATCCTATCTATGAGTCAGTCTGTATAAAAACTCTCAAGTGTTAATTTGGGAAATGTATTGAAAGAAGACTAGAGAAAAGATGCGAAATGATTTACAGTTTATCTAAATCTAATACTTACTAAGATATTGAGATAAAGAAATACAAGCACCATCCTCTTGTTTTGATGGTAGAGCATTACATAACTGAGGTACTGTTTTATGACCACTTAATCTATTTTTATCAACACACTCAGATAGAATATAGATACAATCTTCCCTGAAAATATCAACAACCATTTCAAAACTTTAAGCCATGCTACACAAAATAAAATACAACCAATACCTCAATACACTTTTTAACCACATATTTTTTTAAATCAAGGAAGAATCCATATAAAATGAATAGTTTTGACGGCAATTCACTTATTAACAACTTTGGGTTCAGTTCTCCTGTTGAACATAAAACCACAGAAACCCATTGTATGGGTTAATATCAGATGAACTTCTATAAACAAATATAAACTTACATGCATAGCGAAAGTGGACTAGGTTTCTTTAAACAAGGTTTAATTTGTAAAGCACAAGCTATTGCTTTCCATACTTCAGGTTTACATTGCCTGATATCTGAAAGAGAAAAAATAAAATTACCTTACATTTTAGTCAGTTTGTTTTGTCATCTTTATATTTAACAAAGTTCATTATCTTATTAGGTCAGAAAAAATTAGAATCGTGATTTGACAAACTTTGTGACCTGAGTTCTATAAAAGCCAATAACTACAAAATAAAAACCCTATTTCTTAATACTATTAATACTATTTATTTGCTAGTATACTATATTAAAGGGTTTTCCTATGCTCACATAATTCATGATGAAAATGCTATCATTATTACCTCTAACAGGAATTGTCATTTGTGGAAGAGAGATAGTTCCCTTCTCCCAGGCTTTTACTGCATCTCTTGCTGCCTTATCAGCTTGGGAATTACAGCTCCGAAATAACTGAGTAGGTCGATAGTTAAAATTAGAACAGAAGTCTAAACCTTTACATCCCAGTTGACAGGGCTCTTCAACTGAAAGTATTTAAAAAAAACTTGCATCTACTAGTAAATAGAGGATTTTATTTAAGACCTTATATCAAATGATGAATGTTATAAAATGAGTTTCCTTGTCAACAATACTGTTGTGTGATAAATGTCTTTTAATCATGGAAAGAACTGTAATTTACAACATCTTTCAAATGGTAGGTGGGAACAAGGAACCAAACATCATTGCTAAGCTTAGCTTATAATGAAAATATTACATCTAATATTGAAAGGGCATGATAGCATGATCAGATCTGCTGTAGAATGTTACTTACTATCACTGTATATTGAAGTATTTATATTAAAGACTATATTATATAGTTCTTACCATCAGTTAAACAATTATGCATGGAAGCCTCTAACATAGAAACAGGTTGAATATATGAACAGCTTTGGTAAAATTCTTTAGAATGTTGAACAAAATCAGAATTATATGTCTGAAAAATATATATAAATATATTTATTACAGACAGCTACCAATAATCATAGTACAGAATGCAAAGTAGACACAAAATAAAATACATCTACAGAACTTTGAACCTGCATAGAACAAATTGGTGATGATATATTTGTTGGCTGTAACTTAATTACAATAGTAATCTCCCTTATGATAATTTTGCTTGGGAATTAAACTTTGTTCATCTTACCCAAGTACACAGATCTCGACAACGACTAGTTTTAGCTTTAGAACAACATTGTAATTTAGCACTATCTAAACCAGTTACTAATGGGGTCTCATTTCTTTTAGCTGCAGGTGTCTTCAGAAAGCACTGCCATAATGGTAACTGAAATACATAATAGAAATCAAAATAACATAATAATAAACAAGATTTATACACTCTATAATACTGGTAATATTAATAACTGCAGCAAGCTGAATAATTAAATATAAAACTTAAATATTCATATGGTAATGGTTATTGAAATAGAATTATAATGAACTGGCTCAAAATTACATCATATGAAAGCAAGGCAGTAAAAATGTAATAAACTGTACATATAAATGCATGTTAATATAAATATGTCTTGGGTATCTAGAGAAAAAAGAAAATGTGTAAAGATGATCATTACATCAACAAAATCTACAGCTTATAGAAATTTCAAGCGTCAAATTACAAACAACTGCTCCTTTAACATATATCTTAGTACTGCATATGATACTTGAGAAGTAATTGAATTTCCACTAATGTAAAGTGTAGTACTTGAAACACTCTACTCTAGTAAGGTGTTGGAATATACTATTTATGAGTGAAATAAGCTACTTTTCCTTTTTTTGCTACTTGAATATTATAGTGATGATATGAAGATTTCATAAATTGTCAAAATGACATTTTTAATATTAGTTATCAAACTGAAGTATTGTGTTAAAATTTTAGACTTGGTTTAAGTCATAACCTTCACTGTTCTGCATTATAATAAAGTATATTTTTGTTCAAACCCATTCCAAAAAAGAGTTAATAAATCTAAATGATATCAAGAAATGTCACTTGTCTTTAGGAATTGACACAGTTACGAATCAGGGTTGATAAATCAATAATTATGTAATCAAAGTAATCCTAAATTGTATTAAATACATGACACCAAAATGATCTGCAACTGATAATTTTAAATATTGACATTAGATTAATAATAATTATCATTATAAATAGAAAATGGTAGAACTATAATCCTATAAAACTGATGTTATGTTATACTATTTTCAACAAGTTCTTTTAAATGTTCTTCTTACATGCAATAAAGATGTCAATGAGAAATAAAGAACAAGCTAACTGCACTGGTTGCCATCTCCTAACTTGATTTATTACACAATACCTAATTTAATTATTGAAAACAATTTCAGGCCATTAGGTACAGTTTTAACATGTGTCCAATAATGAAAACTGTATGTTGAAGGCTGAGAGTAAATAGCTTTTAAAGAATTTTCACACAGTAATGAAAGGAATAGTGAAAAAGACTGGGGAGAAAACAATGTTAAATCTTAGCAGTATTGAACTGCAAATTACCTTTAAATTATTATGGTATTTTTTTAACCTAACAATTAAAGCACAAATTTGTCCTGTATAACTTCAAAATTTACTCTTAACAAGATACATGCAAGAAAAAGAAAAAAGTGTAGAACCAAATAAATTCTACAGACATTGTCATAATCACTTTAATCTCACTGCTATCTCAATTGTGCCATAAAATGATTTTCATATGGGTGATGGTAAGTGTGCCATGGTTTAATGAAATACCAAAGATGACTACTGAAAGCTATTGAAGCATTTAATGAGATTTTTTTTTTTAATATCCAACTTTTCCCTGCTGGATGGACTAGCATAATAATGCTCTAATAAGCCACATATTAAGAAAAATACTGTCATCATTTTAGATTTACTTGGAGAAAAGATAAACCATGTACTTCAGTACATTAAGATGATATAATTAGATGAGATTGTGATATATATTTCCCAAACCTATTTTAATTAGATGTGATTGTGATATATATTTACCAAACCTACTTTAATTAGATGTGATTGTGATATATATTTCCCAAACCTATTTTAATTAGACGTGATTGTATATATATTTACCAAACCTACTTTAATTAGATGTGATTGTGATATATATTTACCAAACCTACTTTAATTATATGTGACAGTGATATATATTTACCATACCTACTTTAATTAGATGTGATTGTGATATATATTTACCAAACCTACTTTAATTAGATGTGATTGTGATATATATTTACCATACCTACTTTAATTATATGTGACTCTGATATATATTTACTGAACCTATTTCAAAGGGATTGTAAAGAGGTATGTGTATTGGGGACAATGATAGCATCAATTTGCACCTTTCCACTTTTCAATCAGACGTCTGTGGTTCTAGCAATTCTACTAAAACTAAGTGTTTATGACGTCACCCTCTCAAAGATCTTATGTGATACCAGCAAATTTTGCAGGGGTGACGTCATAAAACACATAGTTTCGGTGGAATTGCAGAAACCACAGACGTCTGATTGCAAATTGATGCTTTCAGTGTCACTGACAAATTTAGAAAGCCTCTTTACAATCCCTTTAATTAACATATTTCATACAAATGATGTGATTGTAAGATATTTGCTGAACCTACTGTAAATAGATGTGATTGTGATTTATATTTACTGAACCTACTATAAATGGATGTGATTGTGATTTATATTTACTGAACCTACTATAAATGGATGTGATTGTGATTTATATTTACCGAACCTACTATAAATAGATGTGATTGTGATTTATATTTGCTGAACCTACTGTAAATAGATGTGATTGTAATTTATATTTACTGAACCTACTATAAATGGATGTGATTGTAATTTATATTTACTGAACCTACTATAAATGGATGTGATTGTGATTTATATTTACTGAACCTACTATAAATAGATGTGATTGTAATTTATATTTACTGAACCTACTATAAATAGATGTGATTGTAATTTATATTTACTGAACCTACTATACATGGATGTGATTGTAATTTATATTTACTGAACCTACTATAAATAGATGTGATTGTAATTTATATTTACTGAACCTACTATAAATAGATGTGATTGTAATTTATATTTACTGAACCTACTATAAATGGATGTGATTGTAATTTATATTTACTGAACCTACTATAAATGGATGTGATTGTAATTTATATTTACTGAACCTACTATAAATGAATGTGATTGTAATTTATATTTACTGAACCTACTATAAATGGATGTGATTGTGATTTATATTTACTGAACCTACTATAAATGAATGTGATTGTAATTTATATTTACTGAACCTACTATAAATGAATGTGATTGTGATTTATATTTACTGAACCTACTATAAATGGATGTGATTGTGATTTATATTTACTGAACCTACTATAAATGGATGTGATTGTGATTTATATTTACTGAACCTACTATAAATGGATGTGATTGTGATTTATATTTACTGAACCTATTTGATATTAATAGGCTATAACTATAATAGATGTGATTATAAGATATGAACCAAGGTGAAATAATTAGCAACTCACCCGCACGTCAGGTTGTCCACAAGCAGCAATAACATCTTCAATAATACTTGAATCATCTCCAGTCGAGGTTTTTAATATATCACGACATCTGTCACGACATTGTGGTGTAGTATCTCTATCACAACATGGTATTTCTGTAATATTTTACATAATTTCCATTAGAGGAGAAGTTGATCAAAGAACACTGTCCATTTAATCATGCCCCCTTATTGATAGATGAGATCTGTGATTAATTTATCTTTTTTCATATGAGAGATACCATTGACAAGTTTCATGTGTATGTATGTATATTATAAATATAACAAACCCAAAAGTGAATATGTATTCAGGAGAACTAGAGCCCATTAGAATTGCTACAAGAAGTGATAACTTACTATCAGCAGGATTGCTAGCCCTTGTTGATCTGGATTGTCTCTGAACACATCTATATACCTTCTCATTGTTACCATGGCAATGTTTAAACAAAATATCTTTTTCTTCTCTTTTATTTGTGGAGTTATAAGTATGGTAGGATTGACAAACTAGACTACAACTAAATGTTTCTGCATGACTACAACATTTTTCACCTCCTGAAACAAAAGAGTTAATGACAATGCTATAGTTGTAATTATCTTGTTACAAATTTGGTTAATAACCTATACATGATAAAATATTTAATACAAATAATTAAGCACCCAATTCCACAATTTTGGAACCTTTGCTATAGCTTTGATGTCTTTCAAAGAAATCTGATTTCTATGTTCAAACCACATAATATAATGATGAAGTCAAAATTTACCTAGTCTTCAAACAAATAGCAATATGTCATATCATTACAGTTAGTTAATAAAGTAAAAAAAAAGCTAAAGAAAAAAGTTGGTAGGTATCTAGAAACATACCTTTTTGTCTATGAAGACAGGAAAACAGAAGATTTTCTACACTGGTATCACAATATCGAGATAAACTGACATCAGATGTGGCCTGAAAAATATAAGTACCGTAACATAATTGTTTAATATTAGTATATGTTATAATAAGCATGTCTTATAGTAGTAATAATAGTTAATTGTTTATAACATCAAGCTCTAATCAAATTGTAAATAAGCATTGCAAATTTGATGATCTCACAAATCTTGTATAAAACCAACTAAATCTACACTCTTAATTGTTTTCAGAGTAACAGAATTGAATATAAAGTCTTGCACCTTTAGGCCTGAAATTTGTTACAGTAGATCTAATTCATCAGAAGATAGGTAACTTTATTTCGAAACTTTACACTTGCACTCAATTTATACACCATGATATCCCTTTAAAAAGATGCAATGTAAAGAATGCAGACAGTAGAAAGGTAATATAGATGTGTCAAATTGCTGAAATTGCTATTTAGATTAGATTAAATCAATAACAGAGTTATCTCCCTTTTATCAATTAATTACATATGACATTTTGCACCTGTATCAGTTAAATTCTAATTGCTTTAATCAAACTGATAAAACTTTATCAAAATATCAATCACTCCTAATACCAAGATTGCCTTTACCTGTTGCAGGATTCTTAACATGAATAAAATATTCCCAACTCAGCATGTTTGCAACAATTAATAAATTTAGTAATTAACTTGAATTAATGCTGAATACAAAGAGTCTTCTCTTTATTTACTTTATCAGCTACAGTAATAGCATTAAAGCTTTCAATATCATGCTACAGTATCTACTATTGGCTTCATGTATTACTATCGAACTAATCTACAAAGTTGGACGTTCCTCAATGATTCAAGTAAGAGGCACTTAAAAATCACCTATTAAGTAATTTGGGGTCAAAATACTGGTATTTTTAAACTCTATGTCATAAGGATGGTGAATTCCCAGCACAACTAAAATAATTGGAGTTTCTATGATCAAGGATGGCACCCATTAGTAGTTTCTTAACATGCTAAGGGAAATAAATAAGAATTATTTTCAAACTAACGAGGAATCTATTAAATCAGCAGTTCTTTGTAATGTCCACTTCGAAACCACAAACAGTTCATAGAAAATAAAATGAAATAATCTTATGATTATATGACAGCATCTTGAGATAATTTTAAGTCTATTGAAAATGAAGTGATATAATTTCCAGTATTTGACAGCATCATAAGATAATTTTATCAGAAAGAGATTTATCAACTTCATTATGATATCTTACACCAGCCAATGGCTGTCAAAAGAAGATAACCTTTGACACACAAAGACAATTGTTCTTCTGATTCTTCTATCTGAAGAGGTAACTAGAGGGGAGAAGCTAGAAGATATGAGAATAATTTGTCAAAACTGATGAATTTCTTTGCCTTTAGACCTTTCAACTAGTGTTAAGAAGGTTAGAATAGTTAAATTATTATGATTCCTGTCCTAACTTGATTCCTGTCTTGGTTGAGTCCTAGTGATAGTTGTCATCTTTAAGGTCCCACATTCAATACCAGCATTTCAGAGCTTTAAATATAAAAGTAGATAGAGATGTTGCAGTTGTTAAGTCAATAGTTAAAAAAGTTAATAAACTAAAGCTTATGGAGGCTAGTTAGAAATATACAACAAGTAAATATCAAACCATTATCTAGTAAATAATCTAAATAAGAAAAAAAAATAGATACACAATACATGTTAAATGCTTTATATCATATGTAATGTTCAGTCTTGGAAATAATGGAGAAAAAGAAGGAAAAATTCAGAAGGAGTTAAAATCCAGTACGATTTCAAATCAATAATTAAGTTCTGAGTGAACCAACCTGAACCAAAATGAAACAGAAATCTCAGTGTGATATTCAATTATACTGTTATTAAATTTTATTAGGAAATTGACACCAAATCAGGCTTGAAATTAATACAATTTGAAAAACCACTTTATTAAATCAGATAAAACATTAGGCCTTAAATCAAATCACAAGTGGGTAATTCTCCAATTTAACTTAAAATTAGTCAATATATTCAACCAATAAACAAGTATAAAACTATAATATCTTAGTATTATTAAAACAAAACTTCCTATTCCTTTCAATAAGAAATGCAGCATGGTAACAGACTCTAAAGAAAGTTTTAAGAAAGTCTTACTTAGTTTGCCAAATGAATTGACAGTGACTTGAGAAGTTTTGGTACCTTTGACAGAAAACCAAATCCAGAGAAAGTGTTGGTAAGTTAGACAGAAAACCACTAATAAGTATTTTATAGATAGATATTTGGAGACGTGAATTCGAAGCGCTATATTCGAACAATACAGACCCAAACCCAGAGCCCTCAGATGGCGAATCTACGGATAGCATCCCCGAATTGAAAAATCCGATCACAATAGATGAAGTTTCACGGGCTGTGAAAGACCTGAAAAATAAACCCTCCAATGGATGTGACCACATCCCATCCGCTGTTTTAAAAAACGAATCTGTTGTGAAACTAATCCACAAAATCTGTGACTCATGCTTTGAGCTGGGAACCGTTCCTGCTGAATGGACTAAAAGCCTAATACACCCGAAATTCAAACCCGGAAGGGATGATAAACTTGTTCCGTCTAATTATAGAGGTATTCCCTTATTTCCGTGCCAAGTAAAATATACTGTCATATCTTGAATAGCAGAGTAAATAAATGGCTTGGTCAGAATAACTCTCTGTCTGACTTTCAAAACGGTTTTCGAAAAAATCGAAGTTGTTCAGACCATATATTTTCACTATATAACATTATAAATGATAGGAAAACCACTCAAAGGCTACCTTTATATTCTATGTTGACTTCAAAAAATGTTTTGACTCTATAAAACGACCCCTTCTTTGGAGAAAATTAGGAAAAATAGGGTTGTGTGGTAAAATTTTAACTGCTATTAAATCACTTTATCATAATACTGTGAGTGCTATTCAAGTAAACGATGATCAATCTGATTGGTTTCCAGTAAATGTTGGCGTAAAACAAGGATGTCTATTATCTCCAACACTGTTTTCTATATTTATCAACGACTAGAAGAAATTGACAATTTGAAATGTGGCATTAATATCGAAGACAATCTGCAGATTTCGGTCCTGGCATATGCTGACGATGTAGCCTTACTAGCCCCAGGTGAAGCCAGCCTGGGCAAAATGTTAAGCGTACTCGATTCCTGGTGCCAAAAATGGAAATTGCCAATTAACCCCTGCAAATCTAAAATAGTACATTATAGAACCCCTTCAGTTCCCCTATCACTACATGAGTTTAGCTGTGGTGGTTTAAATATTAGTTATGTTGACTCTTACAGATATTTAGGTCTATGGATTGATGAGCATCTTAATATGAAGAAAGCAACTTCAGAACTTGCTAAGTCCGCTATTCGAGCTTTGGGCACATTATGCACAAAATATAAGTTATGCGGAGGAATGTCTTACAAACTTTTTACAAATTTATATAATAACCTTGTTGAGCCCGTTCTTTTTTATTGTGTAGGGATATGGGGTTATAAAGCTTTTTCATGTATTAATACTGTTCAAAACAAAGCAATGAAATTTTTTCTAAGTGTGAGCAAAGGTACCCCAAATATTGCATGTAGAGGAGACATGGGCTGGATTTCGTGTGTCTCCAAGCAAAAAAAAGAATGTATTAGACTACTTTGCAAGCTGTATCGAATCGACCCACAAAGACACATCTTTTCTCTACTTAGGTATATGTCGACTAAAAAAAATAAATTTTCATGGTATAATTCCGTTTTAAATATTGTAGATGTTTTAGGATTAAGAGAAACTGTTTTTAACCTATCGATGTCCATCAAAAAAATTGTAAACATAACGAAAGATAAATTAATTAAGATAGATTCAGATGAATGGATTAAAGAATTATTTAATGATAAATGCAATCCTAATGGCAATAAAGGTTGAACCTATCGCCAGTATAAATCAAACCGTATGTTAGAATCCTATGTTTAAATGAAAGTATCTCCAGGGCAACCAGAAGGCTGATATGTCAATTGAGAAGTGGTTGTCTCCCTTTGGCGATCGAAACTGGTCATTACGCTAAACCGAAAATACCGCTTGAAGATCGAACATGCAAATGTTGTAATGAAGATGTCATTGAGGATAAATTTTATTCAGTTATAGTTTGCCCAGTTTATAATGATTTTAGAATTGCACTGTTTGATAAGTGTTTAAGTATTAACCCCGATTTTAACCGACTGCCTTTGTTAAATAAATTTTATTTTATAATGAGTTCCGCTGGAACACAAATTCAATTAGGAAAATATTTAAATGACACGTATTCAAAACGAAAAGACCTGTTAGCAGCATAATTTTTTTTTTAGATGTTTTTGTTATCTATTTTATGAGTGATATGTCTTTTAATAACTTATACCCTTTTAATCTAATATTTGTTTTATTCTGTGTTACATGATTAGTGTTTTTGTTCATTTGTTACATGTAATGTTTTATACTGTCGAATTTTACTTTTATTTTCACTGTTATCACCTGTATATCAGGTCCCAGAAAACTGAACAAATTCTAGTTAACGATTACTTTTTATCTGCTTTTGTTAAAATTGTTATAATTGCACCATGTCTCGTAAGCCTCCTTTGGCTGGAAATCTCAATGTTTTAAATTATTCTGTATATATTTATATTTTAATGATTTGTGACACACATTTAATAAACTAACTATTATTATTATTATTTATCCACCTATAGAAAAGAGATAAGTGTGGCAGAAGATTAGTTTAACAGTAGCATGGTTGGATTAACAAGAGGTTGGTAACAAAGTTGGTTTGACGAAATTGAGATTGTTTTACTAAAGATCTGACTACAGTTCATCTAATGACAGATTATTTCAGACTAACTTTACCCATATCAATTTATATTATACAATATGTGAATGACCTGTAAAACTGACCATATTTAAGATGTTAAAAACACAAGTTTTATCCCACACAGGATGTCCAGCTGGTAATAATAATATTAGACATCTTGTTTTACACCATTTTAAACACTGTCCATCTTGTCTAAATATATAATCTATCCAATATAAATAGATCATAGAAATACTATATCTTTCACATTGACTATTCTAAAT